AGAATTGTAGTAGAGACATCAGCTATGCTTTATTTGTAAAGATATCAAAATCTGTGGAATGGTGGAAAGGTCCTGTCAGGATAGAGTTTCAGATGTGCCTTGGACTTAAACAGCAGGTATTTTTACCAGCTAGTAGGGAATGTCACGAAAAGAAAAGGTACAAATTCTTTGACCGTCGCAAATAAGGAAGCTCTCAAAATTACATTTAACAAATTTAACACCCTAACTTTGTCCATGGTGGATATTTCAATGTTGCCAAGTAGAGTTTTACATTCCTTCTGATTCTTGTAAATGGGATTACGCAGGCAATGTCATGCGCATGATATTGCGAAGGTTCATCTGCAGGACTAGACGCTGCTTTTATGTCTGTTTGCCTGATCTGGATCACAGACGGGGATAATCAAGGTTGAGCGAATATGAAGACTACTACAGAGAGTATAAATTAGTTAGGCCCTATAGTCATTAACAGGCCCGTAGTTAGCCCAGGGGGAGGGGAGGTGGCCCACCTTGGCTTCCTCTAACTACAGGCCTGATCATTAACAAATTAAAATTTGATCTCATGCTGACATAGGTCAGAGTATGATTAGCAAAGTATTTCCGGGAAATTACCAAACACCAGTATGAAACAAAGGTAATTATTTATATAATTTAATTACATACAAAATAATGGTTTCTTGGTAATTTGATTGAATCACGTATGTCTGGTTCTATAAATCAAGCTATTTTTTTAGAATATTATATTATGATCATGATCATGTCAAAAACGTCTGGAAAACATTAACTAAATTTTTCTTAAAAGAATGGTGTTTAAATATCGTGCAAGTATAAAACATAAAATTCTATTTCTCTTATTCCATCGCTTGATCGTCGTCTGGGTATATTTTGACATTTTGTAAACAGTTCAAATCGTCCATGCAGAGTGAAGACCTAGTTCCAAACATGCCATAAATATCTTACTTTATTTATCACTTGCTATCTATCCATAGGTAGGACGATAACCCCCCCAAAACCCCTACATCCCATTTCTTCTACACCTTTCACTGAAACCATTTGAAGTAGTGTGGGTTTCTGTTGATGCAGCTTTGATCGTCCCGAGTTACTTCTTGTGAAGAAAGGGTCTAAGTAATAGTATTACATAGTACTTAAGAATGTTAAGCAAAATATAGCCTTCGACTGTTCACCACACGATTGTACGTATGTTATTTCTACCAGATTCCCCGAATCACTTGCAAATATTTTCTAGCGCAATTACAATATGGCCGTGAGACTAATGACAAATCGACCAGTGTTTATTGATGGAGCGAACAGATTAGGTTGTCGATGAGAACTTAAGACAGTCATTAGCAGTCTTTTAGACAACCATTTATACAATATGAAGAAATCAAAGTGAAATTACTTCAATAATTGGTATTTTATTGCTGGTCAATATTTGTAAAGTACGTTGGTTTTTTACATGAGAAATTCTCATGTTACTTGCTAAGAATATCAGCGAGAAATTTAAATGAAATTGCTATTTATTGAATGGTTTTATGAAGTGATGGAATATTTTTATAATGGAAAATAAACTGTAGCCAATATAATGTTGCAACTTTACCATTTCATGCATTGTATAGCAGAGATGATGAATTAAAAAATTTACTGGTACACATTTTAATGCCAATTGTCTCAAAACTCACAAACCATACGAAACTGCATGCATTGTTTCTTTAAAGAAGGATTTTTCAGATTTTTGTCTGAAATTGTGGAATGTGGTCGATCTATCATCCATCTATGAAGGTGTTGTCGAAGGCGTTGCTAGCAGAAGATTTACATCAAATGCGCGCTCTATGTGTTAAGAGATCTACTTGAGATGACATTCGGTTTCCACTGCTTATGTTCAGGCTTCGATATCTTCTGTTCGAAGACAATATAGTGCTCACTCGCCTATCAAAAATATTGATTCGTTAAACAAAAATAACTACAGATGTTTGTAGCCATTCAAGAATTTACCCCAGATTCTCATTAAGTCGCGTTAATTTTTATGTTTGTGACCCTCTAACACTTTAGTCGACTTCTCATTTCATATCACTAAATTCTGGTAATTTGCGCACCTCCAACTGCGATGTAATTTTGGTGTACGAGATTATGTCCACGAGATCATCTATATTATTTTCTAGTTAATGAAGGTATGTTCTAGAGGAATTTTGATATTATCGGTACTCTTGTCGCGACTGACGAGTTGTATAACGTTAATATTTTGTTTGGTTTTTACCATTCATTTTATAATTTATATTGATATTAGCTTAGCTTGTCAATTTGATAAGGACAAAGAAAGTCGCAGAAAGTCGTACTTCTCTCAACAACTCAAATAAAGAAAGTCAAGCCCGTTTCAAAACATTTTTACTTGGACGACCATTCATCAATTTACCTGCCAGAAGATGAAACTACGTAATTCCGTCAGGCTATAAGGGACGCCCATTGGATTAAGACGCTAAACACAGCTAGACTGATAGGTTTGAGTATTCATCACAATACAGGCACAGTACCGTTTGTTGTACCGTAAAGGATATAATGTTTATTCTGATGTATAGTTAAAATATGAGTAGCCTGCTAATTCAGTGTTAATTTGAAAAGTTTATTTTTGAAAGATTGTAAATATAATATCACGAAGATTTTAATTGAACTATTTAAAGGTCCGCCTATCGATTTTAACAAACTAATAAAAAACTTTTTATGTTGACTTGGTAAATGACATCGTTTGAAATAACAATATTAACCCAATTTGAATCACGTCACTTCGAAGAAGCTAAAATTAATTATATTTTTTACGAGCCCTCAACCTTTCAACCAGATCTTCCATTGCGAATCTAGATCGATTTCTGGATCTGAGATATGAAGATTGCCGTATCTAAGTTTGCCAAAAGAGGATTATGTGAAATTTGAAATGTCCATAGCAAGTCAAATGTTCCAGACTAAACCAGTCTGGAATGAGTTATAAAAAATGTTTTTTTATTTGATTAATAACATTGACTGCACTTAAGTCAAGTCAATTCAGAATTGACTTGAGGCACCAGTTTGAAGTGTTTCTTACTGGTAGCATAGTGGATACATGAAAATATTAAATAGATAATCGTGGTTAGATAATGTTTCTCTGTCTATAATATACTTGTATATATCATGTATAGCAATGTATTCACGTGCAGAACTCTTCCCAAAACTGAGAACTGAAACTGAATTCGAATTTCAAACGAATTGCATCGAAACGTTTATTTTTGATAATTTTATGCACAGATATTTACTAATTTTTCGAGAAAAGAATAAAAGTTCTTGATGAAATTTTCATTAAAACGGAATATTCCTGCGAACTGAAAAGTTTCTGTTTTCAAAAGAGTTACGCATTCATCCTCTGCATCTAAACGAAATATTATGTCCAAGCTTTAACCAGTGGACCTCAAGTGCAAAGGTATTATGGAGAAGCAACAATTAATCTCTGTGTGTTTATTCATTATTTGCTTCGGGAAAATAATCGGATATATATCCATATCAATATCAAGCATTCTCTTATCTCCAAGATATGCATCCGACTCGTGTATTATATTTTAATCCTAGAAAATGAAATCATATCATACCATTAAATGGCAATATAGCCGCTTTTTCTTCATTTTCGTGAGCACGAGTACGAATTTCCTCAATTCATTTGTGAAATAGGCAATGGTTTGTGTCACATGTTTAATGGCCAGACAACGAAAACTTACAAAGGTAACATTGATGACAGCAGTAACATTTTGTCAGAAGTAACCGACATATCCTTCTACGATGAAAACTCGTCTCAGATAGCATCAATATATATTAGCATACTTAGTTGCATCTGAATTAAATTAAATCGATAGTTTTTACTATGCTAAAAATCTTTTTTATTATACTAACTATCTAGGTCAAATACATTATTGAAAATAAATTGTACGAAAGAAACATATCATATCATAGCTAAGAGATCATCCATCCATATGAGCTTGTTAAATTAGATGCAAACTCAAGTTTCTTTAGCTTATTTGTACGTATCTTGACTTAGTCAATGGCAATAACTAAAAAAAACTGCCTGATCTGATCATTCCACATATACGCATTTCAGATTATATCAAAATCAAATGAACCCGAACTTCCATGCTAACAAACTGATTTTAAAGAGCAACTTAATTACGTCATCCAAAATATGAAATTTCAATCCTGTCTGATCAAATGCACAGGGAGCCGTTTATCCAATGCGGCCTTACAAGATTCAATGGCTCTGCTTACTGAATTCAAATAAAAAGGAAACTCTGGTTTCTATCATGCTAACAATCTGACTGAAGAAGTTTGTTAAAGTAAAGGGTATTAACTCTAAAACTCATTTAGATCGAATAAAATCACTAGCTTCTATGTCATTTTCAGATGTATTTGATGCATTTTGACATCACTTAGACCAATAACCTTTCGTCAAACTGGAGCACAACACGGCTAGTAGGTTCAACTAACAAGACTACGTCTAATCTCGTTTCCGTCTCAGGATATCCTTAATGACAACGTTTATAAAAGATTGGTTTAGCACATAGCTAATTTCCGGATACTGTGATATGAGCAATAATAGTCGATGATGAAAAGGTTTATCGAGTGTTTGTAAACGTAATTGTAGACGTATGTCGTCCATCTATCATAGTAACAAATGACAGAAATCAAAGGTTGTATTGTACAATCCAGATGCATGGAAAGGTCAGCTATACAATGATTGTATTGAACAGAAGGGAACTTAGACATGTCTGACTATCACCTGTCATGCATTGACATTAACGTGACTCTTATCATAAAACTAAACACATTACTCACTAAAAATAACTGCAGTGTCTATTTGCGACAAAGCTTATGTCATTCAACAAATTCACCTATGTCAAGTGGGTTTGGTTTAAATCACGTGATGGTTGATTGGCATAATTCAAATAGGTTTATAAGGGGTATGCTTGTATCAAGAAATCTGTGCACTAGAGAGTAAAGGCATCATGGATCTTTTGAAAAGACTCATAGTAAGTAACATACTGTTTTTAAATTTGAATGAAATAGCGATAGGCATGCGAATCTTTAACTAAACAGAAAAGTGTTAAATACAACAATAGCATAGTTCCAACCTGGGACTCGGCCTAAATTAGATACGCCTAAGACAAACACGTGTATGAATCCACAAGAAACGGCAATTAGAATGCATATATAGGAAGAATTATTATGATATGTATCCTTTTCAACAGCTTACAATATAATCTGATTTTGGCAATTCTGGAAAAGCCCCATAGCTTCCGAAAGTAAAATTTGGGGCGGTTTATAATCATTACATAAAAATAGAAATTAGATTTTGGATGTTAAGAATAAGTATATGCCTTTATAGAAAATATTGGTTGATCAATAGCTACCAAGTGACATATGAAGTGAAATTAAAATAGTTTTTAATGATGAACAAGATATGTGAGAAGATTATTATCCCTCGTCCATTTGAAGAACTTACTAAAGCATAAACAAATCAACAAAAGTTCATTATTGAAGTATCAGTTGACACAAACTTTTCGCTTGGACAAACAAAATGACATAAATTTCAGAGAAATTATGTCCAAAAGTTAATAAATGACTTAACAGCGAGTAAAACATGACGTTCATCTTAATCAACTGTCACTTGTTTATATTTCGCTCCAGAGCTAAATCACTGTCAAGACTTACTGTACCCGACATTCTATTTCGACTTTGATGGATGATTTATTTATATTCCTCACGATTATTTCAAATTCACGGTATCGCTCTTATCTGTAACAACAGACAACTTCAATTGATACTAAACTTATTAACAAGCAATAATTAAAAAAATATTTACATCGTGTACCCGGTGACATGTATTTAAAAATTTGGTACAAAATATGTATGGGATAATCCGAGGTGAGAAATAACAGAAACTTTGCTCCTGTAATGGTGCCAAAGACCAACAGTGTTGCTCTGTACATTACCGTCGTACTTGTCAAAACTTCTGACGCCCCGACAATTTTAATTACGCATTTATTATTGACATAATTGCTTTCTGCATCTTAATATATACAACGCATCAAATTGTACATTTATTGTCTGTGTCGTGTCACATGAATTAAAATCAAGTTTCCCATCTCACTTACCTGCTCATAATTGGGCTATGTGTGCAGTGAAGCAATTATTGGTTGTACAGTGGAATTAACCGAATTTCAGGGTTTTTTCAACGTGCACAGCTTCCGATAAACCTATTAGAAAAATTTCTTATGTAAGCCCCTCAGATCTGAATCACTAACACCTAAAACCTGATAAGCGAGCAGAGTCCCGTTTGATTAAATCCTTACAACTATTCGTGTGTTGTAAGTGTTGATATTATCATCAACAGCGTTTAAAAAAATATATATCTTTACGAATACTTAAATACACTTAATTCTTTCACCCGAATAGAGGCTGTCGCAATAGTAGACGTAAAATCGACAAGGTAACGCTTGTTTAAGCATTAGATCTGTAAGACTTCTATCTATTGTTTTTTTTTTTTTTTGGTTAAAGAAACTCGTAATTTATTCTAATGTTTGAAACTTTTCAAACAAGGGCCACCAGTCTTCTGACTCAAAAGACACTAGTAAATTAATTTGTATGAATTATGAACTGTATCAATATTTTATTACAGATAGTTGCTGTTGGAATAGCATGTGTACATTGTCAAAATACAAGTAAGTTTGTAATATTGAAAAAAATGATATATCATAGTATACTTTTCACACTAATATAGATATTCATTTCATAGCAAATGCCGAACTTTCATACCACTTTGCTCTAACTTGAAATTCAAAGGGACACATGCGCCATTCTTTTTGACCAATCATACTTTAGTCTCAGACACGTGAATTTTTTTTTAGATCACCATCGAAATTTGAGCCTTTTAATCCATGTGTCCACAATAATACGCGTTTCAATGCGAAATGCGTCATTTTAGGGTAATCTGTGATATATAAAAAAGACATATAGAAATAGTGAGTAAAATACCTAGTTTGAGATATTTTTGAAGGAAATTATTATTTATTATTATTATTACATTATTACATGTCCAGTACCTCTGAATACTATTTACATATTTTCAAACTGTGTATATGTCCTTTTAAATAGGCTACAATATTTTGCGAAGGAATTAACTGGACTATATTATATGACAAGTTGTCTTTTTATATATCAAATTTAAGGTAATTGTCGTGGTACGCCTTTTTCATATGCATAAATTAGAAACATGGAAAGAGAAGAGTAAATTAATGCTAAATTATGCAAGTTAAATTTTCATGCCGGCGGGTAATATTTTGGACTTTGTTGATGAGCATCAACATTAGGATTAAGATTTATGTACTATGAACTTGACTGATGTTCTACCCTATGTACTTACATCAACATTTAGTTTTGAATATCTCAACTCAAATTCATCCTTGATTTTCGCATTTCTTCTAAGGAATTTTGTGTTCTAAAGTTTTTTTTATGTATTGGACAACTGCTGAAAGTCATGTCAGGTGACCATGATTGAAATCTATTTTATGTATCTAAGTATTCAAAAGGCAAGTCACAATAAGCTCACTCATCGTTAAACTGATCTCATGATACCTATGTAAAGGATTATATAATAAATAATTTCAGATCCAGCAAGTAATTCAAACGCCAGAACTTTAGCTACTGGTGGTAATGAATTTGTTGTAACAGGAGGTGGTAACCCACCATCAGGCGGGTCCTTATTAGATATAGCGTTGGCTAGTTTTGGTACAAATACTGGTGGACAAGCTAATCCACAACCAGTAGATTCAAATCAACCACCACGTGAGTTATTTTTATTTTTGATATTGGATAGTTCTAGTCTTATATTAGGGATAGAAATTGGTTCCCTACATTTGCCGTAGTTTCTTTGTTTCGTGAGACTATAAATGAATCATCTTTTCTTTCTAGAAACGCAACCTGTTGGAGGTGGTAATTTTGTGGATGCTGTAAACAATTTATTAAGTACTGGTACAAGCCAAATGGACCCTAATGTGCTGACCAATTTAGGTCTACCAACAGATCAAAATGTTCAAAATACTGGTCCTCAACCAGTGAATCAGGGATTCCAAATTAACCCAGGACAAATGCTACCAAATGACCCATCAGTTACTACAGGTTTAACTGGCGGTGTACCCTTGAGGGATCCAAATTCCGTTCCGTTAACTGATCCTAATGCTGGCCCTGTTGCCTCAAGACCAGTTGGTGACCCAAATGCCATAGGAGGTGGTGTAGTTCAACGACCAGTTAGTGATCCAAATGCCATAGGAGGTGGTGTAGTTTTCCAAGTTGATCCGCAGAGTGGTATGAATCGTGGTCCTGTGATTGGTGACACAGCTGCAGTACAATATTCATCTGCAGGGAGCATGCCCCAGAATTTCCCTGATCCCAATACAGCAAGAAACGTTGTTGATCCCAATGTACCTTTACCCGGCGGATCTGTCTTTGAACTCACTGGTCAACCTCAGCCTGGTATATACCCGACCATGCCCAGTGCAGTAAATACGATCGGTCCTCAAGAAGGTAAGTTCCTTCTATTCTGAGTACATTGCTTTAGAGATAACTTACCAACGGACACAGAGTCTTGGATATGACTATAGAAAAGCGCAAATGAGACAATTACTCCTATACATGTGCTTGTTGGAAATATATCAATATTGAACAAATATTTTCAATCAAAGAAAACACTAAATATTTGTAGAAGCTATCATATCAGAAAGGTTTATTCACAAGAAAATGATCGTGATATAGATGATAAACTATTATGTAAGCGAGTATATAAAAATACATAATATAAACAAAATTTATGACCAAAATATTGTGCGGAGTCCTTTTTTGTTGTAAACATGTTTTATTCATGTGAAAATTAAAGGAATTGGGGGACAGACTTTCGCCTATATTACCCATCTTCCGAAAAAATACAAATAACATAATATATATGCAAAAATATAAATTAGTTATTTAACGAAATAGTGATAATTTGTTTTTTGGAATAAAACATATTTACAGTAAGATGTCTACACCTCAATGCTAGTGATATTGATTGAAAATCCAGATATCGCAGAAGTTTTTGCTGAAATAAATGAAATTATGAACATGCTCCAAAATGATGATTTTTGACATGGTTTTCCAATTGACAGAGTATTAACTGATAGACAGTGCAGTAGGTAGTGTTCAGGGTCTTCGAATTGGTGACCTCAAATGAAAGTAGGTTTGTCCGAGATGTGACGTTAGAATTTGTGACCATTTAGATGGCTACAAGAAATACGAAAGAGGAAGCAAAGTAGAATTTGATTTAATGTGGAGATATATCTAACCTCGTAGTATTATTTCTCTCTAGGACCAAACGCTGGTGGACCTCTTACTATAGTTAATGGAAATGGTGGCGGACCTCTTAGTATAGTTAATGGTAATGGTGGCGGACCTCTTAGTACTGTTAATGGTAATGGTGGCGGACCTCTTAGTGCTATTGGTGGTAATGGTGGTGGGCGTCTTAGTGCTATTGGTGGTAATGCTGGTGGGCCTCTCGGTACTGTTAGTGGCAGTGCTAGAACTGGTGGTCCAACGGGTGCAGCTTTTGGAGCTACAGGAACTCGACCAGTAGATATTTCTCTAGCTGGTAACACTGGTAGTGTTGGAGGCCAAGGTTGGTGTCAAATATATTTATACATTTTTTTCTATTTTCATTTGTATTTGAATACTTGACTTAACCAAGACTGTCCCACATTATGAACGATGATTTGTCAAGTATAAACGATTTCCGTACGTCACAATAATGTACTCTGAGCTAAAGAATCATGTAGTTGGTCTAGTAAGCCAGAATCTGGTTTACAGCTATAGCGTTTTCTCAGTTGAATCATTATTTTTCCATTCTAACAATTTATTCATCGTTTCAGTTATGGGTGCTCCACCCAGTGGAGGAATTTTATCAACTTTGAAGAATAACGGTATGCCTGGTAAGTAGTAAAGTATATACCTTGGCAATTTTAGATATAACAAGGAGCTATATCAAGCCAAATGCTACAAGGCATGACAAGAGCTTTTGTTCTATGAAAAAAATGTGTTTCCCGTTAGTAGCGGGACAAAAATATTAGGGAAGGGGTTCGGGGTCCGCCCGAGGTGGCCATCTATTCCATAGACCACATTTACATTTAAATTATATGTTTTAATCATTCTTTTGTCTGTATTTACTTACGGACCTGCAACGGTAGATTTCTCTCAACCATTTTTGTGGTCATGCTTACATTGGAAATATAACTTTGTTTTTCAGGTCCCGGTATGCCTAATGGTCCTTTAGCTGCTTTAAAAGCAAGCCCGGGAATTCTGAATAGTAAGTATACTTATAACAGTCGTATCAAAATCGTCAACAATTTAAATAAAAATAAGTCAAGTTGTCACATGAACCGACTATATTAAATATCTTTTTTTATTTTATTAAAACAGTTAGTTTTAAATGAGACATTTTTAACACGTTTGTTGAAAAACGGTGCACGTTTTAAGTGTTAGAAAATGTTAGAATAAGATAGTTTTTGTGTAGCTGTTTCTGGCAACATTCTTTGTCAAGCGTATCTAATCAAAGTCTTATGTTTGGCAGAAAATACTTAAAACCACAATTTATTCTTTTTATTTCAGAACCTGCTCCAAAAAATGATATGATGGAAATGTTAATATTAACTATGCTAATGGGTGGTGGTGGTGAAATGAATCCAGCTCTTCTTGCCATGGCAATGGGATCAATGGGAGGTGGTAATGGTATGAGTGCACTACCACTCATAATGTCAATGTCAGGAATGTAAATCTTTTTAATCAAACCATGATGGTTAAATTATAATACTCCTTAATAATGTTTTTGAATCAGGGATGATCGGCATAACTTAATCTTTCAATTTCATGTCTTACTTGGTATGTAGGTCCTGGGCTGTACCGACTGTACAGGACGAACAGTTGTATATAATATTATTTTGTATTATATTGTTAATAGTATCTGTTGAAGGTGTCAAACAGGCACATGGTTAGTGTTCTTTCCATTCCGAAGTAGTGGTTATTCTTCATGCTTCACCTTAGAGATCATTTATTTAAGAATTGTAAATGACAGGTTTGTACCTACTAAAATGCAGCTGTAGCATATTTCGTTTTGCTTTTGACTATGATTATGGTTGACATCTCATTTGCCATTCCAAATGTGTCAACAGAAGAAACGAAGTATTGAGTCTATATTAATCATATTGATATTTTAATGCTCTGATTTCTTTAGGGCTATTTTGGTACTGGCCAAATGCTTCACAGTTGGACCAGAAATAATTTCATTCAGAATTAGGAACTGTTTTATTTTTCTTTAAATTAAAGAAATTGTTATACAAAATTATTTTTAAAAATATATTTTTTTCTTTTTATATATTTTTGCTGTTGTATATTATAATGTTATAACTAAATAGATTTTGTTATTTTGTTATTTTAATACAGGTAAGAAGCATAAAATCTACTTATTACTGATTCTTATGCACCAAGTCACTGCGATGGATTCGTATGGCATCTTAAACTTTCTGTTACAACCATCCCTTGCCACATAGTCCAAAACGCTTATCTAGCCCTTAATATGCTTTTAACTTCTCATCTGTTGAAATAACAGGGTTGAATTTCCAGTCGTGCCCCGATGGAATCTATTTTGATCGATAATAACCGATTTATTACTGATCTAAATAAATGTAAATCTTCTGCTAGTGCTAATGATGCTATTACAAAACAGTCATCAAAAGATGTCAGCACGTGACCAAGGAAATATTCTACAATGTACTTTATTAGAGTTATATCCCTTTAATTAATACAACACACAAGAAGGTGATTTATTTCTGAGTGCGAAGATACCCAATTTGGCAATTTTACAATCTTCATAATTCTGACCAATACTGCAATCGTATTTTAAATGACGACAGCATAAACTGCAATCAAAAACTGTAAAAGTTTTATATCTATCACAGTGAAGTGATAAGCAAAATAACTTTCCCTCATGAATAATGCTACCATATCAACCGAACGTTATGACATGAGGTTACTCAAGATTTTGTTATATTCTGAACTTCAACTTCGACACAGAATTGTTATTTTCTTTCCGTGGTATTCGTATTAATGAAAATATTTTTGTGTTACTGTGATAAATAGATAACACAGTCGTACAGGGCTGGTTTAGTTGAGATAATAAAAACATAATTGAAAATAACCTATGTTATAACCTAAGTCTTACGCTGCGCGATAAGATACGTAAATATTGGTTTTGAGGCATAGGGGAGTAAATTTAATAAGAACAATTTAACGTATGTGATATGCACATCATGCACTATATTTCGGTTTTCAATTTTATATTTTATAACAATATCTTATTCATTTGATTATCTATTTCGATCATTATCATTATTATAATCCATATTACATATTCTAGAGAAATAAGAAAGCATGCGTGATATAGATTAAGACGTGTGCCATTTAAATACCTTTCAAAGAACTCTTTCATTACAGGGAAGGTACACACTAATACCTTAAAAGACAATCCCTGTTTCAGAATTTGATATAACATGGTATGCAGGTTTGTTTCCAAAATAAAAACTCAACGTATTTTAATTGAATCAACAAATGAATGGTTGCAACACGTGTTCAATTTAAAAAAAATCTTATCTAGTAGGTTTCTGGCTCTTATGGAAGTGGGGCTTTGGCTATGCCAACCAAACACGCTTTTCTTAGTTAAAGATAGGCGATATAGCCCTCTTCCATTGCAAGCTCCAGAATCTTTCTCTGTTCCATTTGCAAAGATCACTATATTATAATACAGCTATGTTATTATTTTAGTGACAATGACTTTTGTAGGACATGACTTTTGCTTTATTCCTCAAAATATAACGTGATTATTTATGATCTATAAATTCATATTACCACATAAAGTCTATAAAAGTTTTTAAAGAGAAATGAAACTTTAATACTCTTTTAGATCTTTTTATTATATGATTTTGAATATTGATTGAACACTTAAATGGTCAACAAACCTCCACTTGTCTTTAACGAGATTTATTTCTTAGAACAAATTTCATATCTATTTGTCCCTAATCTACAATAAGTTACACCCTATTTCAACATAAACCCACCCAACCATCCTTATATGATTGATATTCGCATATTTTGGCTGCCATGTAATATAAAAATCGATTGGTCCCGCCCCGAGTCATAACTGCATTTACCAGACCTCTCACCTTAACACAGACGTAAAAAACAGTGATCTGGGGTTGAAATGCAATGGAGTAAAGTAAAGTCACCTTTGGATTATTAGTAATATCATGGAAATGCTGGTTTCCTTAGTGTTAACAATTTTTGTCACCTTGGTGAGTTATGCATTTATAAGAGAATGATTAGCTAGCTTTTGTTATGATTATATTTATTAGTTGAATAGTTGGTTCTGTTTGATATTTTGGATAAAACGTATTCTAATTTACTAAATCAGAGACCTTGGTTTCAACCTATTCGGGCCGTTATAATACAATATCGATGATTGGACTCCTATCGATGACCTCCCCAGATTCATAGACATCTATTACCTGCGTACTATCATCAAGTGAATATGATGCCAAGACGCCGTTGTTTACTAACATGATCTTCATTTTACTTTATTTTTACTTTTCACACTGAACACCATCACTATAATTTACGATGCTTACAACACTGATTGCTAATTTAATTATATTCAAATGATGCCAATTTCATCTGTATGGAAAATTGCAAAATACGATATTCAATCTTTTGAGCTGAATAATATATATAAGCTGAACCTTATACTGAAAACAGCATGAAAATGATAAGCAACGTTTTGATGTGGTTGTGATGGGCTAACCATCTCATTGGATTAGCATATACCTTTAATCATAATATGTGTGATATTAAACCAGATCAAATTACACACATTGAGCATTGATGGTGTTCATGTTTAGCTCAATTCATACTGCATTCGGATTTAATCATTATTTTATTGTGATTCTTATCTCAAAGTCAATAACTTCAAGAAAACATAGAAGAAATAGCTGCCATAGTAGCAATCCTTTTACTGAAATACTCACTGTGATTTTTGTATTGAAATTTGTTATCTTAATGGTTTAGGCTATAATTTATTTAATAGAAATTTTCAAATAAATGCGAGTGTTAGTCTTTGGCCACTATGTGGTAATTTTAACTTGTATCTTTACATGTACTCGAAAATAGCCTAACATCCTGACCTGTCAAAGAAAATTATTTCAAAATTCTGTTCGTACGTTTTAACTATTCAAATCTCACCAATGTCTTAAACAGCAGCTGGTATTTCTATTCTTATAAAGTTAATTTGAGAATGTTGTTTCAATGGGAAGAGTATTCTGAACACAAAAATGTTATTCCTGGAATATATTACTGGAATATGACTTTTTGTCTATATACAGCGTGCCATCTACTCAACTTTTGGTTCCCTTGCATAACGATTTTTTAAACAAAACTAAATCGATTAAGACTTTCAAAACAAAGGAATGAATCCGGAACCAGACGTTGATGTTGATCGCTCAGTACAGTCTGGCAATTAGTATCATCGCTTACTCATGATTTCTTCATAATATGCTTCCACTGTGCCATCAGAGGCCATCACTTTGTGATTCAGTCATATTGCTTAGGCATGGCTGACCCTATATATAGAGAAGAAAACTTTTTGCCATTAAATATTATCATGTCCTTGTTTTGGTGCAAATTATGACAATCATCACGTTCCATACACGTTTCAAACTCCACGTGTTTCAAAAATGTTGATAATGGTTTGAACAATTTGAATTTGATTTCTTAAAATTTATTACAAGATTGGACTTGCACAATGTGAAATTACAAAAGTGAAATACACCAAACTCATCCGTGAGGCATGTCTTAAATATATGTCCACATAGAGACCTCAGAATTAGACCCTTTCAACTATTGTTTCAAAATCAACCCCTGTTTTCAGATACATAAGAGCAACTCGAGTGGTCAATTAGAAATAAATGTACTAAGTTTTCGCAATCCGGCCGGGCTGAATATTGATGGTTCGTGCTGTGATGGAGTCAATCTTGTTGATGAGCAATGTCCAACTGGATCTTGTGATCACGCTATCGAAGTTTGTGTATCACAGATAGATGGGTATGTAGCTACAGATCAGTACATTTCTGATTTATGTCAATAAATAAAAGTCACCCTATATTAAAAATTATAATTTTATGGAAATTCCCCTGTTAAATTACAATGGTTTACGACCCTTATCATTTATTCAAAAGGTGTGACTCGACGGTTACAAAAGTTATTCTAAAACATGCATATAATTTACATTGCTTATTGTGCAATGATGGGAGCAACAGGAAAGGTGTGGGCGGTAGAACGAACAGATTTCTAGAGTGGTTTAAATGGATTAACTTAAATATGTTATCTGATTTACTATTGTTTGATAACTACTCTACTCATGTTTGTATTTGTAGATTAAATGAAAAATGTAAAATATTTGTGGGGCCTCCTGATACCAATGATATTACATTCTATGATAACAACCAATTTTTATATAGTTTTGATAGGTGGCAGGTCAGTAGCACAGTTCAATGTCGTTAAGATAATAACCAGTAAAATATGCGCTGACGATCAGACACTAATAAAAATCAAGCTGAAATGACGACGGTTGAAGTTTTTTGAATATTTTCTTCTCCCGAACATCTTATTACATCTGATAATATTCATATGAGTCCATTTAATCATAAAATTTGTTCAAGGGTAGCTTATGTTCGCTTAATTGAAAAGGAATTAGAATCACTGTCTGGTCTCCACAAAAAACTCCTAATCTATTATCCTTTCAACCATTATAACATTATTCAACTCAGCAAAGTAAACTAGCTGGTATTTTCATGTCATTGTAACATATTTCTCATTTCTCAAATCTGATTTCGTTTCCAATAAATATCATGAATGTTTTTTTAGGGTGGAGTACTAATATCGGTCAATATAACAGACCTTGATAGTGGTAAATCGGATTTGGTGGATTATTATAATATTACGTTAACTAAAGATACTGTAGCATCTTACTTACAATTACCTACTGTAGAGAATTATAATTTTACTGGTTCTCGATATCTTAATGCCACCAGGTATTTTATTTTACATACGACTACTAACAGCTCCAAAACGAAACCTCACATTAAAGGATGTATGTCTAAATGTTCGATTGAAAACATTTATTAACATAAACCCGTATGTTCTTGAAAACTCGCTAAGAGTGAAGGTGTGTTTGTCACCTTTTTTTTGTTTGCGACCATATAACGAGCTTGAGCTTCTTCTCATATTATCTGCTAATAGTTTTCAAACTTTGCATGAACTCATTTTTCTATTATTTCAAAATGATATTTTTTTTACCGTTTCAATTTCATTCTTTAGTTTACAGTTTTCTGTTAGTACATATTGTGATAGCTATTACTATCAGGACTGTTCCGTTAGATGTATTGATAATGACGAATGTGATGGCCACTATACATGCGGATCAAAGGGTGCGAAGATATGCAACTTTGGTTGGCGGGGTACAAATTGTGACCAAATTATACAAGGATCGCAAAAAGATTGCTCTGTTTATGACAGTGAGTACTTGTTTTAGTGAAAGTTTACCCAACTGGTCAAATGCATTTAAGTCACTTTAATGCTTCTGGTGCACAGCGTTCTCTTTTTTTGTAGACATTGCCTATCTGTAATACCGTACCTGGTTTCAGTGATAGTGCTTTGGTAAGTTTCTTTCGCGCGGATGTAACGTGAAACACCATGATCTCCAATGATCATCCAGGATGGATAAAACCATACCAATTGTACCTGTATTCAAAATCCTATCTTGCTATCTTGTAGCTTCCATCTTTGAGATAAGTAAATGGATTAGCAATTTTGAATGTTATGGAGCAAACGATGAACTCTTATTAGATATAACAGAGGTTCTCCAAGAAACTAAGGAAATCTTCGGAACCATAACTATTAATACCACTGAAACATCCGTTGAAGGACATTACAACCCTCTTGGACTACAACTTTCCTCCACCGACTTTGCGATCGGAACCTATCTGAATCTAACCTTCTTTGACATGAGTGCTACAAAGAAAAATGCAACACATCTTGATGGCGTGTTTAGATTTAGAAGTAGTGGAGATGACCATAGATGTCCTTTGAAATTAGATCGCATTTCGGGTAAGAGGAACATGTATTTCATCTAGTCTTACTACTGTTCCATTAGAATTTATTAAGTAATGTGTGTCAGTAAATCAATCACAAGCCGAACAGGATAAAGTTAAACTCACAGACTTAGCAAATGATTCAATCAAATTCGTCGTTTTTAACAAGTGCGTGAGACAGATTCTGTTGGTTTAAGATACTGTATATATCATTTACAATGTTAGAGTTTCAGTGAATAATTAAACTTCGTTGATATATCTATAGTTAATTTTATACCTACCATTTTTTAGGTGAAGATGATATAGCACCGAATAGATGTGATGATAAAGGTACTTGTGTACGGTATGGAGCTGCTAAATCACAAACATATTGCTGTTGCTATGACGGTACATATAATTTAAGTGTCTTACAAGTCACAATCATAATTTTCATCCACATACACCTTATCATTGATACGGTTTAAAGGAATCGGGACGAGAAAGCAATAGGTCATTTGTATGGATTATTAACTAAAGTAAATTTCGACGAAGTCTAGACATAAAACTATAAGAATATATCTTATTGTTTTATGTCTTAGACAAATGTTGTACGGTGAATCAATATATAAATTTGATATTTGAAGAATTAATGTCTTTTAAATATGAGGTTTAATTTCCAGGAAGTCAGGGTAAAACATGTAAATCATCAGTAACCACAAAACCATCCTTTTTTACTTCAATAACAACTATGAAGACATCCACATCAGCTACATCACAAGCATCAACAACTGAAACAGCTACATCACCTGCATCAAGTACTCCAATTGTTACCTCATTAGAGTCAACTACTCTAACAACACCAGAATCTGTTACATCCTCAACGACATCAGAATCGACCCAGGCATCATCTGGAGTAACATCATCTGGAGTAACATCATCCGGAGTAACATCATCCGGAGTAACATCATCTGGAGTAACATCATCCGGAGTAACATCACCAGTCATGTCATCAATATCAACTAGTCCGAACTTTGGTGAAACAACAGATATGTCCTCATCTACTGACTCCTCAACAACCCAAACATTGGAATCTCAATCCACGGAAGAAATCACACAGCCATCTCCATCTGCACCATCAAGTTCACAGGTAGATATAAGTAGATAAATTTAAAATATAACAGTTTCATTAAGGACCCAACATCGATTTGAAATTGTGTGAGAATATTTAGTCCGTATCCTAGTCTTCTACTTATCAAATTAAAAAACAAACTTGGAAATTATAGACGTTTTATGTCTAAGCACTTAACGTGATTATAATGATGTATATGTTTTCTTAAGACAACCATGTCGAGCGTAAGTACCAGTTCCACAAGTGAAAAAGCATTTGAAACGTCGATTACTGAATTGGGCACAGATTCGACATCCACATCATCTCAATCCAAAATTACTTCTATTGAGACTACGACAAATCAACCGGTTACTGATGCAATGACAGAATCTACAACTACAGACATGTTAGAAACACCAGAGTCAACTATGCAACCAACCACTGAAATACCCAAACCATTTATCCCTGATAAATCTTATCAACTCAAACTTGAAGCTGCACCAGAGGAGTTGAAAGACGATGATAGAAACTTAGAAGATGTGATCACAGAAGCTTATTATGAAGCTAATATAGGTAAGTATTTTGGTTTTCAAAGGAGATTAGGGAGCCGCGGTGGCTTAGTGAGTTAGACGCTTGCTCGCTAACCTGAAGGCCCATGCAGGGCTCAATCCCGGCAAAGGTCGAGATAATACCTTCGGATTTTTTATCCCGGTTTCCCCCTGTCAGTGATGCAGGTACGAGGGGCTGAAATGGAAAAAGCGTCTAGTCGTTCGGATGGGACAATAAACCGAGCCCCCGTGTGCTACAGGATGTGCACGTTAAAGATCCCTCGACAGTTGGAAATCGAAAAAGAGCAGGTTAATGCCGCTGTCCTGGCAAAATTTCCCTCATTGCACTCTACATGGCGTTGACCGTCTTCATTAGCCCACATGGTGCAGAAAAGTATCACGTAGAACTCCATTCATTTCATTTCATTTTCAAAGGAGATTATTGCATTCATTAATTCAAAGCTAACTATACAGTAGCAAGAAATGCAGGTATACTGAATCGTAACAGATCTAAGCTTTTCTAGCATATGATCAATACACTTGCATGTGAAGAGAATGTAATGGTATCTATAGTCTTTATTGTATCCACATTGTAGGAAGGATTTCGACAGTGGAAATCATACTTACGTGATTGAAATCCTAAGATCTCTGGCGGTCTTAAGTCAATCTCCAGTCTTTGAAGATGGATAGTACTTTGTCTTACATTAAGATAAATCATATTGGCTTTGGGGTGAATAAAGTTTTCACTAATTTATCAGTAAAATTCATTTATTCAGCATTCAAATGAGATTTGTGCTTAAATATTTACAGATGTTGTAGAGAAACGTCTTATCATTGCAAATGTTACTGATAAACGAGATGCACTTGGTGATGATGGGTACGTAATTTTAAATATTTGTCTTGATATCATACTTCAATGTGATAATAAGGTGGATATCATTGTAAACAATTCTAAAAATATTTTCAGTGACAATTACAATACAAGTACTACTTGTCAAACTTAGGTAGGGACAAGCTACATCAATTGCCTGGAGATCATACAGAGTGAAACTCTGAGTAACAAGAACTTCTAAGTGCTGTTTAAATAATTATGTCTTAGTAACAGTTATTCATTTTCAAAGTTAAACAATGCAACGTAATATGTTGCCTTGCATCATGCCTATGTATTTCCAGTGTCTTAATAGTTGAAGTAACATATACCCTTGTGATCAACTCTACTACAATCAATACATCCACCATAAACCAACCAACCACTGCTCAATGGACGTTTGTGTTACACAGAAACTATGCAATATCTGTATATCTTGGTGTTGATATATGGTATCTAGAATATACATATTCATTCTATGCATTGGGACGACCGCCAGTTATTCAACAATATAATGAAATGGAATTGGAAATTTTCAATGTATGGGAATTGAATAGTAGTAAGTTTTTGTATTTCATTGGCAAGGCTGTTGTGGACTTAATAAAGTAAAACAAACTATATGTATAATTGATGGATATTGCATGTTATGTGGCAGATTGTTTCCGAACTCCATTCGACATTGCAAAAGAATGATGCAGTAATATTGTTTTTTTTTTTACAGGACTAGTAAACGAAAGTTATAATATAACAATACTTACTACAGAAGAATATGTTGGTGAAATGGGGTAAGTGATATGGACCATAGTGAATGATGAAAAGTGTCATTTTCACATCAACACATACTCGTATGCTAACCATCAGAAACAAATCATTTTCACTTCTTCCAACAAGAGGTGTTAGAAAAGTTACCACATGGAATTATTTTCCTAAAATATACCTACTTTTTTAGACCTTAACTTTGATCGAACAAGAAGTAACGAGAAAAGAAGAGAAGAAAAGAAAAGAAAACCACTTTCAGTCAAAATCACAGTGCTTGCGGTGGGATAAATTTGTTAATGTGTCAAGCGACGCTGCGACATACTTACATTTTTGAAACATTAACTGGTGTCCCTGACCGAAGAAGAAGTAAAAAGAAGATAAGAGAAGAAAAAGAAAAGAAGAAAGGAGAAAAAATACATCGACCGATCGAAGGAACACTTCTCGGAGAAGCAATATACGAAACTGTATCTTAAGTCGAAGGACGCAAAAGCTTGTCCTTTTAAAGGAACGCATTACTGCAAGTCCAGAATATGCAATTGAACATTTCAAGTAAGTACGAAGTAATAATTTATGAATGATCTTATTTTCAGTGAAGAGGTATACAGATTGTATTATATTGTGACCAACATCAATACGAGTTCAATGTATCATCCTTCTAATACCACTGCCCCTTCAGCAGTTCAACTAGACGCATCAAATATCTTTACTATTTACCACGGTATCTCAACTCGCTACAGATTTTCCTATGGAGTTATATTCTATGATGTTATTGATCAATCTGAATTGGTAGAACTATCAACTGTTTCTGAGAAGGTTTGGGATGGTAAGGAACCGACACACATGTGTCAAAGGATACTTTTTAATCTTGCTTTAAAAGGATAGATCAATTATTCGATATATTCTTTGAATTAATCAAATCGAATGACATCAGAAACTAAAAGGTCTCTTAGAGAGTAAAGATAGGGTCAAACAGCTCTCACTGTATATGAGTGGCTCATGACAGACCTGAATTCGAAAGTGGGGTTTCAAAGGACCGCAATTCAGACGAATCCACCTTCAAAATGCCAATAACTTTATTTCAGGTTTTACAACATTAAATGTCTCTGTAATACCTATTAGAGTAGAAAGATATATGGGTAAAGAAGGGTAAGTAAATAATTCTTATCATGCTTCTATACTGGAAAAATACATCAAAATTTTAAGAAGCCAAAACATGCAAAACTGTGAACAAAATGTATTCAGATATACTACAGAATTGAGCATTTCAAAGACTCCCATAAGACATAACAAATCTATTCATTCGTAGCAGTATATCCCTTAATTTTTTTCTGTTTCCAGAGAATATTTAATGAAATTCCTGTACTTTGTGAAACGAGGATCACGACTGATATCACCAATCCAATGGAAAGGACCAGCACCTAAGAACTTCAAATCGTGGTTAGAAGTAATAGATATTAACAACCGTTACTTACGTGTTTATACCAGCGATGTTCACTATCGCTATGCCCATCATACTGGATTATATATTGAAGATCGTATTGATAGGAAGGATTGGACCGTTATGAAAGAACAGTTAGAAAAAACATGGTCAGAACTTGTTATAGGTATGGTCAAATTCTTCATGCCGAATTCAACGCAGAAATAAAGCTATATTGAGATATTATTCATTAGTTCAGAGGTTGCGTTTTCCCAGGTATCTGGCGTGGTCATTCTTTAACTTTTGTTGACAATTTGTTTCTCTGTGTCATAATAAGATTGTGTTATGACAATGTTTGGATCGTTAGTATTTTGTTTTTACGCATGAATGTTTATGAGCGAACTTCATATTAACTGTAACAGATACAATTTGTCTCAATTTGTAACTATTTGATTTCAATTTGTAACTATTTGATTTCAATTTGTAACTCTTTGATTTCAATTTGTAACTCTTTGATTTCAATTTGTAACTCTTTGATTTCAATTTGTAACTCTTTGATTTCAGGGTGGAATAAAAATGGATTTAGTATTAAAATTGTAGCAACAATAGACTACACCACAAATACAAGGTACACAAATTATATGGTATTTATTTTAGTTCAACAATAATTAAGAGGTTTTCAGTGCTCTCAATTTAATTGACTTACTGCTCTTCTTGCTGTAATGATACGATTTTTTTCTTTATATATTCAGTGAAATGGTTCAACTTCTTACATACTACATATACAGAAAAGGAATGATCATAGACGCATCTTTACTAGATACCCACTTCAGTGTAACTAAAGAACTTGAGACACGATTTAAAGTGATGAGAACTTATGGTGACCAGTATATAGTAATTACTCAAAGAACCTTTGTTGAATTGAGAACTCAGTATTCTTTTTATGTAGGGGGAATAATTTCTAAAACTGACTTCTCTTATTTTGAACAGAGTTTAATATCAACATGGAATCTAACCAAAGGATACACAGGTAATGAAATAAGGACTACCACCAGCTATTCCTGGAATGATTTGACTTAATCATTCGAATCTTGATGATAGCAGTAAGAGATTGGACTTTTCTTTGGGATAGTGAATGATCTTTTCTTTTTACATTTCTCAATGAAAACTCCATTAATGATGTTTCTATTTCAGAAAGTGATCTGACAGTAAAAATAACTTATATTGATGAAAGAATAGATATTAAAACAGAGTAAGTTCCTAAGACTAAGTTCATTGTTTATTTTATGTCCTTCCCAAATTATTAACGCAGTGGTATTTTCGTGTCGTTATATGACAATACATGTATAATGCTTATGTCGGATGCTGTTAAAATGGATGGATACCTTTATGTTTTAGGATGACAGTTTCCAAGATATACTACACTCTACAATATAAATTACAACTAGTGGATGCTTATGCTGTCAAAATTTCACAAAACTTCACCATCCACCTAGAATCGGCATTCAATGTACATACGAAATACCAGAAATATATGCTATATAAACAGACTGTAACAAATCTGATTACCAAACGTTACAGTTATAGTCTTTATTTCACATCCAAGATGACCAGATTGGATTTCACAACCCTTCAACGTCGACTGTATTCTGTACTGAAAACATATTTAGGTAAAAGTATATTTGCTGGTGTGATGAGAAAATATATAGGAAAAAACTCTTAAGTGTCTAAAATACTGAATATTGAAAAATCTCAATGAATATTGAAAAAATAAAAAGATATGATAATTAACCGATTTCAAATGGTATTAATGCAATGTGTAAATTAAAACTTGGAATAATCTGTAATATAATACAATACTTCACAAGTTACATTTCATTGCAGGACTGTCCTATGAATTTGAAATAATTGTGGCCAACCAAGAAGAATATTATACTGTTTTTGATAAAGAGTAAGTCGCTTACAGTGCTTTCTAAATAAACATCTGAAATCATATCTATAACTTTTAGTTAAAGAATTGAAATACAAACAATAGAAAATATCCCCCTATCATTTCAAGAACGACACACAATACAATCGATGTAATTGTATTTGGAAATTTGCAGGTATCTTTAGACACAAAAATACATTTTGAAAGCTTCAAAACCTACATATCTTATGAATGTTTTTCTTTTTTCAGATCTTTTGAAATGTCGAGTACAAGATCCACAGTATGGAAAATCAATTATTTTATTAAAACCAGTAATTTATGGGTTTATCCCAAGTTTGTTAAGAAGATCTACCAATCCGATTTAAAAACTAGTTTACAGTTTGAGATGATCAATAAAAAGACAAGCAATATATATTTAGAATCAAGGAACGAACTCATCTCGTATAGTTATCATTTCTCATTGGATTTTAAAGAACCAATTTATTATACAGATTGGCTACAGATCCAGATTAGTTTAGAAACAGCTTGGAAGAAACAAAGTAATGATAGATTTTTTTTACAGTACAGTTTTCAAAAAAATATTTACATTTCTTTTTTGATTGGCATTATATTGAGCTACAGTGACTTAGTAAGTTAGACGTTAACTCGCTAACTTTAAGATCCTGGTTTTTAATCTCGGCATAGGTCAAAATAATAAGATCGGAAAGGCTGACATGAAAAAACGTCTGTCGTTCTGATGGGACAATGAACCGAAGCCCCGTGTGCTACAAGTCCTACAGTACACCTGTATATTCAATAATGATTATTGTTCTATATTACAGCTGGTATGGCCGTAAAAATTTCTATTCAAAATGTAGAACAATTAGTTGATGTTGAAGGGTATGAGAACTTATTTTAAAATATTTTTTGTAATGTTACAATTTACAATTTCATCAGATGCCTTTCATTGCTTTACATTTTCATTGAAATTATGCACATAGTAATATCCATGCAAATTGTACAACATTACTAATCCTGAAATGATTTCTGACATGTTTGGTATTATTTCAGAAATATATATTATTCAATGGTATATTTCATACAACATCAGCAATCCTGGATCTATTCCTTAAACTGGCAAACTTTAGATCTAACAATATTAAAGCTGGATTTTCTAAACGTACATGGATATAAATATGAGTACTTCAGTATAAAAGAAGAGTGGAAACTGTCATATTCATTCCACATAGGCAGTGACTTGACGGTATCAAGTACAGACATAACTACATTAAAATTAATTCTACGAGAGACTTGGTGTTATTCACTTGCTAGTAAGTATTCGAAGCGTTTTCGTCTGAAAGAAGACTCGGCAGAATACCCTTTCTTTTCTACTCTTGCCACATAAACTTTATATTTTGGTTGTCCCGGATACACGGCCATGCAGTTAGAGAGAGCTTAACCACGAAAACGATAATACTCAAATACTGAAAACATAATCTACTTTCAGCTTTTATTAGTGACTGCAGTAAAATCGAAATATTCCCAGTAAAACAAGTATCTGAAACTTCACAATCCGGGTAGGTCAACCTTGATATTATATACTGAACAGATAACGAAACGTCAGATTTTTAGATTATTGGACAAAGTCGTGCACGATCAAAATTGTTAATTTAAGACTTTAAAAGGCCAGTTCTATGACATTCAACTGATAATATCGGTTGAGTTCGATTTAAGAGTTGTGGACCTCGGGAACTGTCCGATGCCATGGCCCTCACTCAGCCCGGACTTAAACCTAATAGAACATTTGTGGGATGACATCCAAAGACGACTTTTCATTCCATTCCAATCGCTTCCAAGAAATGCAGCAGAACTCAGTGCGCAAATTCCAACGGCACACCAAATACTGATTTTCAGCCTCACAAAAAGATTACGTGATCAGAACCTTGATATGTCATAGCAATAACTTGAAAGACACTCAAACAATCCTTTGAAATGTTGTTGTTTTCTGACAATTATCTATTGTTTTATTGAAATTTGAATAAACAATTCACTGTTTTCTGTGCTTTGTGACGTTTCTTTATCTGTTCAGTATAATTTTGGAAATATGGTGGGATCGTTGTCCGTTCTAGAGCATTCTAATAGCCGCGCCATGTATGGGATTATTAAGGAATTTTAGTTATAAATGTTTCGTTTTCACATTCTTTTCAGAATCAAAGGATGGGACTTTAGATATTTCATTAAATATGAAGGAAATGTAATTGATGTATCGACATGGCCAGCCCTAAACATTCACCAATTCTTACAGTATTACCAGAGTCATAGCTTCGTATATAAATATAAATTCTTCCTCAATTTAAACTATCTGTATCGTTATTTTCAATTTAAAATCTATCTTAACACACACGTTGAAAGAACAGATTATGATAAAATCAAGGAGTCAATTTTGTCATCATGGCTGAAACAAAATACTCGTAAGTATTGTACTTAGCAATTTGATTAGTGTTCAGTTAACAAAGGTTACAGTTATCTATAAAAACATTTTAGAAATTTATATTGTACTGCATCATTCATGATAGTGGAATTGCCTTAGCACAGAATAACAAAGCAAGATAGAGCACATTCTGACCACGTCATTTTAGAATGTCAACGACCAAGAGGGATGAAAGCAAAATAAATCCTTTTTATATTTACCATTCTATGTTCTTTAGATTTTCACATCTTTAGACATTCTGGTCTCAGAAAACTGCCATTGTTAAAAGAAGAGTTTGCGATCTGAAAGACAAGTTAAACACAATATTATCATATGATATAGCGAGTACGATGATGAACAATATTTTAGTATTGGACTATGAATATGTTGCATTTTAGGATTTAACTCTACAACTGGATTAAAGGTTATTATTGATTCTCAGAAAGAAAAAGTAGATATACACGGGTAAGACATATATCTGTTTATGAATTTGGAGAGGCTTAAAACAATAAAATGACCTTACAAACTGCTGTGGCACCTTTCGACTTTTAAAATAAATATATTAATACTGTATCAATCTGTCCTATTCGGATAAATTCAAACGGGCAGTGGTACATAATAAAAAAAAAAGTAATGGTGTTCACAGCTCACCGTCGAAATTTGAGCCTGCAAATCAACGTGTGTCCGTAAGATAACTCGTCTTTTCTTAAGAACAGGCATAAAAATAGAAAGTGAAATTCCTGGTCTGGAAACTTTTGAACAAATTATGCGATTTTGGTGCATTTCAAACCCAAATCAACCCCCCCCCCC